CCATTTGGTTCTGGATCTGGAAAGAGTTTCTAGACTGGGCCTCGCGCGTTGTGAACTCAAGAATATCTCTCTCAAAAATCGAAATTATGTTTGGTATTATTAACCAAGATTCTACATTCTGCTTAGCCCTCAATCATTTAGTCATTATAGGAAAGTATTTCCTTTATGTAAATGTTCTTAACAGCAAAGCTTATGTCTTGCATAAAGGTGAAAGTATAAAAATACATTTCATGTACGTCCGGCCGTGAAAAGGAATTTAAGACAAAATGGTCTACTTTATATTCTGTGTTTAATATGTTGTAAAACTCCTAATTTTTCATTTATTTGCGTAACCATGGAATTTTTATAATATTACTAATTGTTATTATCATGTTAGATTAGGGTTAATGTTAGTTTTGTTGTAATTATATTTAACAATTATTCGCCGAAGGCGAAGTTAATATTATTCAACAATATTAATTGAGCCTGAGGTGAATAATTGTTTTAGTATATTCACACGAAGTGATCTCAACAGAATCAGAAACGAAACCATTGAAAAACGATTAGTTTGATGACGGGTGAATTCATGCGTGAACACGAAGCCGTAAACAGTGGATGCGCATGAGTTAGATCTTTACAGGCTTTTTCAGTATCCTTAAAAATGGCAAATGATAGTTTTAATCTTTTTGTATCGAGTTTGGTAAGCTTTAGCATCAACGGTTTAAAAGAAAACGCCGAAAATTTATATTACTACCCAATTCTTAGAAGAAAAGTAGAGCTTTATTTGTTTCTGTCAACTCACCGTAAATGAGAAAGTTTTCTTTGTCGCTTCTTACAAATGCTGTCAATAGCGGCTACGATCGAGGCGAGTGTTGTTTATATCCAATGTCCTTTGCCTTGTTAACTTGCTGGCACGTACAATTTTCGAAAATATTTGCCTTCCTCTTTTCAGGGGCACCCAACGAGAATTTTCGGAAAATATCTGTTCGGAAGGCGATTTGAGATCTAGAATTTTCGGAAGATTTGTTGTGAAATTTCTTGCTTGCCTGCCTCTCGTAGGATTTTCGAACAACTTTTAAAGCTACTGTAATTGCCCATTTTTGACAGATTTTTACCCTTAAAAGGTCACCTAGAATTTTCGGGAGCCTTTTTTCTGGCTGAAATTGTCGAAAAGGTAAGTTTTGATCCCTATAATTCAGTTCGGATCACTAGACTTTCAGCTAGGAAATCCTAACAGATGAAAAATTTTTAGGGGATAAAAATATGCCTATATCTACCGTTTAAATACTAAAATAGGTTTAACAATGCTATGTTTAAGTGGTTTTCCACAATATTCTCGTTGGGTGCCCCTGTCTTTTCTCCATGAATTAACTTCTGTTTATAGGCAAAATTGGTCTTGCGAGAAAATCCCGAAATCACAAAACAGTGACAAAGCGGCCTCCTTTTCCTCTGTAGTGGTAAACATAGGTTCGAGCATACAATAAGTCAGCTACAGTAAACCACTTCACAATAAATACGCTGTTTAAACACCATGAAGTCTTTTCTTGCCTTCAAAGTCATCAGCACTTGGATATTCGTGTATTTTCAAAAAGGCTCTACTACGAAACTTTGGCAAAACACCCAGTTCACGACAGCGATTTTGTTCTGCTTTATATTCACCGCCTAGCGCGGTGAATATTTAACAATTATTCCTCGAGCCCGAATGGGCTATTGACTCAGATGCCATGAGGGCGAGAGGAATAATTGTGTTAGTAAAATCCAACTAGTTGGTCAAAAATATCGAGAATAAAAAACGTTTAGCTAGTTAAAGCACAGGCAGCCCAAACTCATTACATGAACGCGGACGTGACTCTTGCTTGCGAGTGGTGTTGTGTTACAAGGTAGTTTCGAAAACGAAGCACTCGAAAACGAAGACCGAAGCACGAAGCACCCAAATCTCGAAAACGAAGCACCCAAAACTCGAAAACGAAGACCCCTAGATCGAAAACGAAGCACCCAAATCTCGAAAACGAAGCACCCTAGATCGAAAACGAAGACCCCAAAATCTCGAAAACGAAGCACCCAAAACTCGAAACCACTGTGGGTTTAATAAGTGCAACTTTACGTCTTACATGACGCAGTACGAATCAGGTGGAGGCAGCGGATGCGTCTGCACCTCCAAAGGTCCACAAAATCCATCCCAAGGTTTTATAAGAGTCTGCCAACTGTTTCACTGAACGTTTCTAAATAGGATATCCTGTATTAATTTTATTAGTAGTCTCGCTATACTTGATACATCTTACCTTAATATGCATTTTTTCGGTACACATACATGTTTATGTAGACTTCAAAACTGTCCGTCAGCAGATTTTGGCGTATTCAAGTACGCGTGAGCAGTAACACAGTTCTAAAACGAGGCTGAAAACGGAGTGTGAGGCTCGCGCGTATTACTCTTACGCCACGCTTTACCGACTTCTTTACTGATTTTGAGAAAAAAAACCGATTGTTTTGCAGTCTAACATATTGGGTATCTATGACGCTGCGTGATCAGATCAGATCAGATCCAGAATTCTGCCTAGGGTAATAGCCTGGGACCGGGCTCTATGGTGGGGAACAGGAGAATTCGATTCGTTTTCGAAACTACCGTTGTTACAAACGGTTATTTACAAAGTCTTGTATGGGATGTAAACGGTTTTTCTTAAAAGAGAGAAAAAATCTTATGTTTTTAAATAAAATCGACGTACCTTATTGCCTTGTTGTATTCTTTGTTGTTTGCCCGCGTCTCAGGCCGTTTTGAAGCGTTTTCGGCGAGTGAGCGCTATTTTGGTGTTCCACTTCTAAATATTGTGTATTGTAGGTGTAATGTGAGTACGATTTGAATAAAGTGAAAAAATAAGTATTGAGGCAATATACCATCCTATCGATGGTATGTTGCTCGCATTTTCCAGCTGGTTATGAAGAATTAGCCACGATATTAAGGCCAGTAAAGTAAAAACGGTGAATTATTTTAAATGAATAACAAATTTGTTTAATCTTCGTAGAACAAGAAGCAGGTCCTGACCCATATGGAGAGAGCTGAGAAGGCAAAAGTAAGTTCCCTGGTATATTCAGCAATTATTGAAGGAGGCTGAGTAGGATATGAAGAATTCTGCAAATCGAGGAGGGTGTTTTCCACCGAGGCCGAAGACCAAAATTAAGGTGGATAACACTCTCCGAGATCTCTCCCAGATCTGTGATCTTCATATCCTACGAAGGCCGAATTCAATAAGCTTGTTTTAAGTTTAAAAACAAGCTAAAACGTGCTTACCTCGGTCGATGTTAAGTTCATATCGATAACTCATCTTTATCGGCAAGTTTGGGAGATAAAGATCTGTTCAGGTCTGCAAATATACTCCGAATAGCAGTTGTCGTCCGTCGAGGTGTCTTCTTGCTCGCTGTTCTTGCTATGATTTTAGACAATATTTCGCCGTGAAACGAGTAAAATGTTTCGCCGACTCCTCAGCCATTTTGTTCTCACTATCAAAATAACTCAACCTCGTCCCCAGGTTTTCTCGGTTAACGGTTCAATAATCTGCAACTTGGGCTGCACTTTTGACGTCATCGGTTCAACTTATATGCAAATTTCTTTCCAAATTTGGTCAACAGTATCTTATGCGTGTGCTTTTAGCCAATCAGAAATGGAGAAATATTTTAAATGAATAATAAAATAACATATTTTAGTGTGCTCTCGTTGTCCATTCACTGAAGGGAAAACAAACGTGAAAACCTCAATCCACAAAAGATTTAGAAGTTCCACATTATTAACGACTTGCTTATAAATCAGAGCCTGCGTTTCCTTTTTTAGTATGAGCCGCAACATTATTATTTGAAATACAGTAGGACGCCTGTAGGACTTTTTACAGTATTGTAAAGGTACAGATAGTTAAGTTATCGTAATGGATAGGAATTGACTAGTGAATGCTGGCTGCATGAGCCTGTTTAAAAGTCGGTATTAGAGGACTGGCCATTTTTGTTTTTTGTTTTTTGTTTTTGTTTTTTTTAAATCTAAATGCGAGGTCACGCTTGAACTACTAGAAACACGAGTCCACACTCAAGCCACGTGCTGCGTGGGCGCGAATTTATAAACCTCGGCTTTGCAGGGTCCGCGTGGAAAGCTATTACTTTACGTTGATCGTTTTTGTCATCACAAGGCATAGAGACGATGAACGAGAACCATAAAAAACAGTACCTATTTTTCTCTAATTTAGGTTTCTTTTCTTGACATGATTTAGGCCTGGAAGAGGCGGTTATCAGCTATAACATAAATTAATTCAATCAATTAATGTAAGGAGCTCTTTAGATGATACGGGAATGACTTTTATTGCGGAATAAGATTCCTTCCAGAATGAACACCGTACTGCATTCACATGTTAAAATCGAAAGTCTCACCCTATGGCGTTCAATTTCGCCATGTTTAGTCGCACTAGATAAGATACGCATGCACCACTCGTCCCAGACTACACGATTTGCGAGTTTCAATCCGCAACGAAGTGTGTTCTTAGTTTATATGATTTCACTTTACATCATACCCAAACGAAAGTTCCATTCGGATTGAGGACCGGACTGAACTCATTCCGGAATGACTTGTACGGGAACAAAATTTCTTCTCGGTATCATGTGAACAGATGCAAAGAAGTATATGTAGATGGCATGAACTTGTTGCGGAATGAAGTTATTCCGGTATCATGTGAAAATCCCCTAAGATATGTAGACTGATGGATCTTTATTCACCTTCTAAATAAAAACAGGCGTCAAGACGCCCTCTGCACAAGGCTGCAATTAGTGGACAATGCGAGACGGTCAAAATGCTTCTTGACAATGGTGAAGATGTGGATCAAAGAGATCAGGTTTTATTTTAGTGTTTTTGGTTATCAGGTAAAGAATTTAAGGGTAATATGGACCTAAGCTGGTCTAAGCTGCTTTAGCATAATCCTGTAATTGTATGATTTTCTGTTCCCAACCCGACGCCTAGCTTTTCTTCGCTCGATATTGGAGTTAGTTGGGTCGAGTTCTTAGCCTTTTTCTTAAGGAAACTTATCTTTAATTCTTCAACAATTGTTGCGTTTCGGGATATAAGCTGTAAAGTTCTGTTTCAAAATTGATTTGTAAGAGAGGCGTTTACCTTTGGGTTGACCTTTGAAAGAATTTCAAGAATTCAAATAAAAAAGGGTGTAAGATAGTCTTAAGCTTACTGGGAAACTGAGTCCAACAATGTCCAATAATTTTGTTAGTTCTCTTTTATAACCCTCTTCACTTGCTCTGTTTATCTTTTCGTTAGTTTTCTCTGACACCTCTTCATCTTGCCTGTTGGTATGGACAGGAATCTGTTGTCAAACTGTTGTTAGAAAGGGGTGCGAACGTTAACGCTGAAGACAGAGTGAGTTCAGTCGATGGTTAAACATTTCTTACCTCGAATAAAGAGGCTTGTTTTTAATTAACCGTGGTTCTGTAAGGTACGAAAGTAAGATTTAGGATTCATTAATTCAAATTTAACATCTCTTAAACCCATAACAATGTGAAATTTGCGTGTTATAAAAGCTTAGGTTTTTGTAACCTCGTGTTGCATCTCTAATTTTAGTCATATTCTTCTCTTTTAGTGCATGAAAATTATACAAAAAAAAAAAAAAAAAACTGAAAAAGATGAAGCCCTAAAATGCAAAACAACAAAAACAAGATAATGAAATAAAATACAATTTAATTTTAAATTGGTGATTTATTTTTTTATAAATGAAATAATTTAAAT